TTATATTTCCGTTGCTAAGTTTACACTGACGTCATTCGCAACGGATTATAAGCCAGTTCGAAAGATTCAAAAAAGAGTTATTTGTATTAAGTGTTCGATTTACAGTGTTTGTTCTTTATTTAATCGTATTTTCTTGAGAAAGGTCTTTTAATAAGACCGAAAACGTTTGAAGTTTTCTAATAAATGTCGACTGCAAGAAAAGGTGTTGTAGTAAGTGTTTTTTGATATTAAAATATGCAGTCTAGAACGATGTGTTAAAAAACAATGCTCAAAAAAGTGTAAGTCAAAATAGATTTAAAACATTCATTTTAATCATTTAAAAAGATAAAAGTTTAAATAAAAATCCTATAGAAGTAACACTTACTAAAACAATGCCATATTCTAGATACATCTAAATTAAAATTTTTTATGAGTCCATAATTTTGAAACAAATGAACAAGCAACACTGGAAGTGAACGTCCTCCGGTTGAAACATCAAGATTAAATGTATTGAAATTCCATCTGTTACAGTTGGTTAACAAAGCCTAAATTAAAATATAATAATTAAAAATAACAAAAATACAAAACAAAAAATTTATTTAAAAAATAGGGAAATTCCCAAACGTACTTCAACTATTCCATTGTATGCATCATCTAATTCTGGCAGTCGAGCCAACTGGGGTTTGGAAATGGGTACTCTGGCCCGACGAGTTTGAGGAGTAAGAAATGGTCCCGGTGTTAAACGATGGTCTGTATCCGTTAGACCTAATAAAAAGAATGATTTATAATAAATTCTTTCGGTATTTAAAATTAAATAGTAGAAAAATATAAGTAATCTAAGTAAATATCAATAGTTAAATGATTAATTACTATTCAAGAATTCTTTAAATACATATACTGTACAATACAACCTGCAAAGAGTTGAAAGCATTGAAAATGTGTAATTAATGAAGCAATCACATATTTACTATTAAAAAGATTAAGTAATAATGATGAAATAAGTTAGAATTTTGTGAAGTCCTGGACAAGGGTTGAATGCTCACCTAAATTTGTCTCAAAAATTTGAAATTAGAAATTTGACACTAATTGGGAACTGTGGATGAGGAACTGAAAACAATTGAGATCTCTAATTAAGGAACCAACTCTTTAAAAGGCTTATGTCTTAAGGACATGATAGTCGTTTTCTCCAGTGCTCTCTCTCAACTAGTTCCTTCTTGACCAGTTGCTTCTGAATAAATTCTGTCTACCTCGAATCTTTCAAAGTTCCAATTCTGTCTAACTTGCTGTGCTCTATCAAAACTGTGATTGAAAGCCTAGTGAAACAGATCCGCCATGCTCTCTTCATACCATTTCTTCTACAACTTGGATCATCATCACATTGCTTGGTCCATTGTATGAAAGTTACCATAAATCCAATGAACTGTGGAAAATTGGGCTCCAATTGTTAAGATCAACAGTAACCTTAAAATCAGAAGGTTTTTGTGAGCTGGCCACATACAGTTGTACTGTACATGTGAGAAGCACGGATTCTTTACATTTAGCCCGCATACTCGCAGAGATCGTTAGAAGTGCGATATTCCCCATTTTTATATATATTTTTTAATCCTTTATAATTTTGATTATTTAATTGCTCCTTCCTCTCTTCCTTGGCATGTTGTGAAATTTCTGATAGTTGGATAATAAACCATTTTATTGTAATTTGTCTTTTTAAATTATTTTGAGTTGATATTAAAATTTGGAAAAGGGGGNTATTCATTATTCCATAATGTAGATATATTCAGTTTGCTGCTATTATTATTTTTATTTTAAATCAAGAGAATTATCTACAGTTTCTAGAATAAGTAAATTCGATGTAATGAAATTTTTTGTTAGGCCTATTTTATACACCAAATTCTTATATAGTCTATTACTCCAGAAAACAAATAACTTGCAATTTTTCTTCATATAAAAATTTCGTAAAGTTTTTATTTTTTTTAAAATACTTTTAATTCAAATTTTATATAATATTTTCAAATGGTGTCTTTTTACAGTATTTGTTCTACAATTTATCTATCGTGGCTCGAATATTTTCCACTTTACATTTGTACGAGATGATCCGATCGAGAATTTGCATTGCATACAGAACATGTGATATCATCTCTCCATTTTATTTGATTTTATTTTCGTTGGTTCTTAACCAACGAAAGACTGTCCACTTTGATTACAAACCCTTAGAGCTTAGACCGTTGTGAGGTCCAGCATCAAGCCGAAAAAGGACGTCTTAGCGCCTATAGAGTGAAAGGAATTAAAAAAAGAAAGAAAAAAAAGAGAGAGAGAAAACAGTAGTCAGTGAAACGTGACTGTTGATTTCTTAAATATGATTCAATTTTGTAAGCATTTCTTTGTAACTTCCATATCTACGTATTTATTTAAGACAGCTTAGAAACTTCATCCGTATACAGGAACTGTTAGAATGACAGCGACCCTTGTTACAGATGGTATTACGTAACTAACTATTGTTGTTCTATCTCTCTTGTAAGGCGTGACTATCCATGTCAACATTTAACAGTCATAAACATTCTAACAGACGGCCGGATGGCCGAGCGGTCAAGATGGCAGCCTACCTCTCAGGGTGATCCGGGATCGAATTCGTACGGGTCGAATAATTCCCGGGAATTTTTCGTGGGTTTCCATCCGGATATGTTGGGCCCATCCCTCACCACCCGGCTTTCCCATTGTTGGCCGAACCCATAATGGGCTTGCTAAAAGAGGACCTCTTAGTGCCCACAGGGCAGAAAAAATTAAAAAAAAAAAAAAAAAAAAAGTGGGGGAATTGGGGGACTGTCCAAGTCAGTAATTTTGAAAAGGTGGCAACATTAGTGTGTGTATTTCCTATGATACCCTGGCTATTGGGATATTGTCCCTCTTTGTCAACTAGCCATAATTGCTTTGTGTCAGTTTATGATTATGTAGTCTACAGTCACTTGCACATATTATTTTTCATGATCTCTTCAATAAAATTGAAGATTTTTAAATACTATCATTCAAATTTTGATAATAATGCTTTTAATTTCAATAAAATTATATCAATATGCTCCTTTAGGAAAGTAACAAGATTTTGAAGAATAGATGAAACAGAATTAGATGTTGGGGTAAAATACTTTAATCATTGAGTTTTTAATACAGGTTCACTTGGCAGATGTTTATTATGTAGCAATGAGAGAAACTTCAAAATAGGAGGAAGGAGGAGTCCATAGCAATGAATGAAATTTGGCTCAATGTCACCAATAATATGTAAGTAATTACATTTAATGCTATAAAATTAAAAGAAATTAGTAAAACAATAACTTACTATGCAACACATTTTCTATTAATCACAAACAAAAATCACAAGTAATTTAGTTTGTCACAAAAAGTCACAAGCACCAATAATTACAAACCACTCCCCATAATATATATTATATTATATTGGAGCATTAGTATTTAATATTGAATCATTAATAATTATACATTATATTAATGATTATTATATCATTAGCATATAATACAGTATTATATATCATTAGTATGTAATACGTGCCAGAGGATTCAATTAATGAAGAACAATCCACTATAATGCAATCAATACCAGTGTAATACAGATTGAAAAGAATTAGTAAAATGGCTAGCAGCACCTAGTCCTATCTGTTACTTTTTGTATTTCATATTATGGACTTTTTTTACACATATTTTAAAAGGTCCACTTCTGGTATAACTTTAAACAATCCAAATAAAGCATTTACACAAAAAACATACTAAAAAGGGAAGTTCTATGCTAGGATCATCATGCAGAAAAAAAGGTAAACATTGGATAATTTTTTCTTCTTTTACAAAAATGTTAAAAAATTCAGTAGCAAAATAAAATAATAAAAATTTAAGTTTAATAGCCCTTTTTCATTTCATCCTCTTGTAGTTTCTTTTATGGATTTAATGTCCTATTATTAAGTCAGTTCTAATCAGTCTTTTATCAGACTTATTAATATTAAGTGAGAAATTCTCTTTTCAAACATATCAACATTATTCCTATATCCTTATCAGGCAGTTGGTTAACTAAATATAAACAAATATCAAATTAACAACCAGATTTTTTTATTAGGCTATTAAAGCTAAACTATTACTAAGCAATTTGGCAGGGGACAGCTGCCATCTCTCCTTAAATGTAACAAAATTTCTTGTTATTGAATTGATTGCATTTGTTACATATTGCCATTTCGTTTTCATTTGACATATGTTAATTTTCATAAATTTTCTTGTTATATATAATTAATAATAATAATATAATGTTTTGCTTATTGTATGTTTAAAATTTTTCATTGTGTGAATTAATTCAGAATAAATTTGTTATAATACTTTTTATTTTAATTTTAAACCTGTATTCAATTCCTTGGATACTGATACCTACATTAAAATAGAAATAAAATTTATTGAAATATAATAATTTTTATGATCAAATTTTTTTGAAGTTTTATGAATCCTTGACACTTGAAAAAAAATATATTGTCCTAGAAAAAGGAAAACAGCCAAGACTCAAAAATTCTTAAACAAAAGCTTTCAAAAACAACATGTTATCCCGTTTTTATTTCTAAATATAATTTTTAAATTAATAATAACTTGTTTTAATAACTTCAAAATTTTAATAAATCTTAAAATTTTTGAGAATTAAACATTATACAAAATTCAAATCTAAAATTATTGCAAAAGACTTTTTTTTTAATACTTTTTAGTTTCTTTCTTATTATACATTTTTCATTTTATAAGTTCATAAAATAATTCAATATTTAATTTTAATAAATAATAAAAATAGGCAACACTAATCAGTAAACACAGAAGATGTCGGTGGCTGGTTCAAATGAAAATGAGTTCAGATAGGAACAAAAGTTACTTGGCAGAGAAGGGAAAAAAGAAGAATGGGTTTAAAAACAAAAATGAAAAATTCATTGCTAGAGAATCTGAATCTACAAGCAACGAATAAATTTTTTCCAGTTCTGAAGACGAATAAGAAGATCAGAGAGATTATTGTAAAGGAGGGTATTGTCCCATAAAAATTGGAGATGTGTTAAACAGTCAGTATTATATAATTCGCAAGTTACGATGAGGACATTTTCCACTGTATGGCTTAGCTAGGATTCAAAGGGAAAAAGATTTGTGGCTCTAAAGTTAGTGAAGAGTGCAAGTCACTTTACAGAAAGTGCTGCTAATGAAATCAAGTTATTGAGAAGTGTTAGAGATACTGATCTAGATGATCCATGAAGAGAGAGTCATCCAACTTCTAGATAATTTTCAAATAAGCAGCATAAATGGAAATCATACTTGCATGGTATTTGAAGTATTAGGTCATAATTTATTGAAATTAATTATTCTATTGAACTATCAAAGAATACCCATTCAATGTGTGAAAACAATTATATCTCAGGTTTTGGAAGGTCTACATTATATCCATACAAAATGCATTATTATTCATACAGATATTAAGCCAGAAAATGTGTTGATAACAGTTGATGAAAGCTACATTAAAAAGCTAACATATGAAGTAATTCAATGCCAGAAACTTGAACTTAGACCTTTGGCATCTCAAGTTTGTAATGCACGAAGAGAATTAAAAAATTGTAATCATTCAAATATGTCAAAAAAACAAGAAGAAGAAATTGAAAAAGAAAGCCAATTGGCAACAAAAATTGATTGAAATAGAAGTTCAGAAATTTGAAAAGTTTGAGACTGATGAAAACATTCATATCGAATTGTATCCA